AAAAATTATTTTAACACTCACGAACAGGTTTATGTCCTATACTCTAGTATATGAGAATATTTTCAATCTCAAAAAATTATAAACAAAAGAAAAACTAATTAACACAGCATGGTGCCAGACAAAAAAAAATCAACTATGTATCAATTCATCGATCTTATCTTATTATTGTTTGACGAAAATATCTCCCCTAGAAAAATAACTGACGTCCATCCACCTTGGACAATAGGCCTTCTGCTCAAGGTTTGAATTAATCGGATTTCAAAAAACGAACAAGTTTTTGGTACTTTTTGGGATACAAAATTGTTCTACTATGTACTGCAAACTGTTTGTTCATATAGTGAGAGAGAGAGAGAGAGAAAGAGAGCAAATAGATAGTGCGATATGTGTGTGTATCAAGAATAGCAGACAAGTGTTTTCAATAAACAATCATCTTCGTTTATTCATGAATCAAAATGGATCTTCTTATTTAGTCATTTTTCCTAGTCCCTTGTGAATATACAAGAAGAGGGTTATCAAAATAAAACGAAAATAACATATGTGTATTTCAACGAATGAAGAAGACATAAGTAATTGCAATTCTTACAGATAGAACATTAGAAAATATAAATCCACTATTTTGAAACTGTTCCATCGACAACTTTATACTTTTCAACTCATACGCTCAGTCTACTTATCAGTTTTCTCTACCAAGACTTATTGTAATTTTCTCTGCAAACATATATTAAAATAATTCACAAATATATTATAAAATAGACTAAATCACTGTGTTTAATTGATAACGTGGTAGACTCAGTTAGAAGATTAATAAAAACATAAAAGAGAGCATAGGTGAGCCAATTTGTCACTTTCGGTCTTTTTTATTCTACAAATAAGTCGATTAACGACAAAAGAAGAAGACAGAAATAAGCGAAGCGAATAGGAATATTTTTTTACTCTCTTCTTTTTTAACCTGAATAATAATCTTACACAAAACGAATTATAAGATTTGCAAAAGAACAATTTTAAGAGAAAAAATCCATATGTCTGAGACAGTTTGCGGCTTCCGTTTTTTCAACAAGAACTACTTTTTAAATTCATAGTTATAGTTTAATAAATTTGAACTAAAAATACTTTTTGTTATCCAGAAACTGTAGTTCAACAAATGGTGAACTGTCAAAGATCTCGTTGAAACTAGATCGAACGAGCAATAACCACTTTCTTTATCTCTCATTGTTGAGATTAAATCTGAAATAATTTTCAGATGAGCTTCAGACGACAGAAACTGCAGAAATCAACCACTGTAGTCTAAATATCACAGCGGCAATGTGAGTGACCAAAGGACGATGTCAAAATAGACAAGGTATGAATAGTAGCTTAAAAAAACGACAAATATCACTATTTTAATTTGTTTGAAGATGTTGAAATAGTTAAAACCTATTTTCAACTCTAAACGAATAAAATTTCTTTTTTAAGAAATTAGTTCTGTCACAAATGTAATCTAAAAAAATCTTATTGAAGATGTTCTATATTATTTTTGTTTAAATCAAAGATCGTATAATTTATAAAGATCATCGTCATAAATAATTGTCGTATCGTACAATGATTGGATCATACTATAATAATTGAGTGATAGAACAGAACGATAAAGAAAAATAATTGAAATCGAAGTTGATTTGATGATGATCATGATGGTGAAATTTTATTTCTCTCATTCTAATTAACTATGTTGGATCTTTTGATCGTTTTTAAATATATTTTTGGTGTCACTCCCTCTCCCACCGTGAATACCATCAACACATTAGTTGAAATGTGATTCATAAATTTTTGTCGTCATCGGCATATTTTATCATCCAAAGGAGAAGAAAAAAAAATTATAATAGTTGTTGCTGTAGTTTCATTTTAGTATACGTGTCATTATTAACGCATAAGTTATTCCTCTTTTTTTGTACAAAGTGATACATTACTCTCTATGTAAAAACGTTGCCGATAATATTTCAAATTGAACTAAAGAAAGTGATAGAATTGATACAAATAGTTTTCAAAGATATTAAACTATATCTTGCCATCGATCTGTTCTAAAAATGAAACTACCTCTTTGCTGTTCTGATCAGATGTCTAGAAAAAAATTTGTATAGTCGAGTAAAATCCATTGTTTATCTTTGAGAAAATTAGAAAAGAGAGAGATTTCTTGATGTGTATCAGTCATAGTACTAGAAACTCGAAAATTAGTAAAAGGGAGACGATAGAATAATAGATCGTTCAGCAGAGACTATAGACTTATATCTTATACGCTTAGAAGGTTCGATTATAAAAGCACATATTTGTAAAATTTCAACATTCAGCTGATGATGTAACTTTAATGTCTGGGGGTGAAGCGTGCATTGAGAAATTATTGGCTCTACTTACATATACAAAATAGTATCAGTTAGCTGAGCATGAAAAGTATCGTGCCTCAAAGATTTTCTTTACATTATTTATTACACACTCTTTTTTCCTTTAATAAATAGTAGTACGAGCATCATATAATTACAAATTCGTGCCTCTCATCAACATATTCTTCTATTATATTCCATATCAGTTTGTTATTTTTTGGTGTTTGATCTGCAAGTACACACACGCAATCGTAGGAAAGATATATCTTGTTGATAGATCTTACTGTTACCATCCTACAGACACTTGTTACATTTTTGTACATATTTAGAATAGAATAGAAGAAAAGAAAACATTACGCCAATCAACGTTGATTATATTCTCAATTTTTATTGGTGTATATGTATTTTTCTCTCTGCTAAGATTTGTCGATATAGACATTTTTTTTTCTTCTCTTTATAACTTGATCTTAAAAAAGACGAACTGCTGAGTTTTAGAACATAGAAAATCGGTCTTCTTTATCGGTCAACTCTCTCTCTCTCTCTTTCTCTCTTTCTTCTTCTCTTTCGCTCAAGATAACGAAACATCGTGTTTTTACAAATCGTTTAGATAATAATAATATCTAAGAAGAAGAAGAAAAATAAAAGGTAATACATTTAAAGTGATATACCCTGCTGATGTCAAAATGTTAATAACGGATCTAAGGACATATCACCATGTATAGACAAAATAAGATAATAGTATGTATAACTACAAGAGATTAGTTATTTTTAGTCACTCATTTTACTAATTAATTGTATTTACGAGTTAGTAAGGTTAGAAGACGGAAGATTTCTATCGAACGAACGACACTTTATCAGTCTTATCTAAATGGGTTTGAATTTTCCGAAAAAATATTGATATGAGAGCAGAAAATATAGAACCACATGAGACTTATTTTTTACCGTTGTTATCAGTTATAGAATAAATCCTTTCATTTATTTACCAAAGAAAGTTTTAGAAGAAAGAATTAATTATAACTAATATGTTCGCTTCTAGATTCATAAATTTTGTCAATAGATAGAATATGTTGGCGTTTCTACGAACAAAATCTAAAAATAAAATTTGAAGGATTATAGAGTATATTTAGACTGGATGGTTAAGTGAAATATAAAAAGAGAGAGATTTAGATGATAACCTATGGACCTAAATGTCCAAAGTAGATTATTTTGTGGTAAAAACTAACAAATGGAAATAATTTTACTAGTATAAGGACTCGACAAGCGTTCTCATATCAAAATATTTCCATTTCACTTCTCACAGCTAATCTCTTACTTTTAAGTATTGCTTGTATAGTCTGTTTCTAATGTATATAATGAATATTAGAATTAGCGTCTGAGTGAACTTCGGAAAATACTATTCTTTAGACTAATTGTTAATATAAGATTAGGTATCTGTGATGCGCGTCCGATTATAGTGCAACGCATTAAAGTTTTAGTCTATAAAAATGTAGAATATTAGTACTTTTTTTTCTCAACTAATTATGAAAATATTTTCTTTCTAAAACTGTTATTCTTCGCATACGTTTCTTCTTTTTCCGCTCATTTTACTTTTATTCAACCTTAGTATATTCATAGTACCAGTTAAAGTAATTACGTCGTCATTTTCTTCCGATATCGAGACTATGTTCTATTATTTGAATTATTGTCCTTAGAAAAAATTGTTCTTATCTTGATAAAATTGACGTTGTCCATGTGTTTTCGTATTAAATGACCTATTCTTATCAGAAAACTACTACTACTGCTACTATTCAATTCATTATATAGAAAGACTAAGTAGCCAACGGGCTTTCGTCGATCATAATGTACACTTGTTGTCTTGAAAGTGTAATAATAGAATTTTGACGCGAGCGGTAGACACTATAGAACTCAGTCAATCATTCATCAAAAATCAATTATTTTACCATACGACGAACGATTGAAAAGAAAAAGAAAATTAATTCGATGAAAGACATTTTTCAGTAAAAAATACAACGAACGAATATCTTTTTCACTTCCTAGTAATAAAGAAGGACAATGTATAATCAATATAACCTTTCTGAAACCAACTGTAAACGAGATTCTTCGAAGAAGTAATGTGCATGAAAATAACACAATAATTTTCGATCCATATTGATATAGGCAGTATGAAGAAGAATTATCAATGAGAGTTTTAATGAGAGATTGAAAATCCTATCATTCGATGATCTTCTTATAAGAAAAATATCGTAAGAGTGATTTTAAAATATTTATTTATGCATTATGATAAATTATAGATTTTAAAAAATACCTATGGTCGTTTTTTTTACGCTTGATAGCTGAAATGTTTTTTGTTTTGTTAAACTATGAGTAGCATTGATTCTTAACCCAAAGAACTTTTTATGAGAATAAAAATGGTACACTCACTGATGATACCAAAAACTCACTGATACAAATCTGAGAATAATCGTGTATATTTGCACTTTTCTATCATTTTTGAGTTTCGACCGTGCATTTTACCATCAATTAAAAGCAATTTCAGAGATGGTTTTCAATATCTACTTGCGCTTCTTTTTTATCTGAAGGATTATATATTTTCCACTCTTTATTCATTTGAAAACTCTTAATTTTAGTTCAACAACTATGCTATCAAATATGCCATACAACAATCTAAATAATAATAATGATGCAACAACAAAAGACTTTAATTCAGCCAATCAACAGTCATCACCTTCTATTTACAGTAATAACAACAACAATAATAATTTAGTTACAGACAGTTTACAAACTCGTTCATCTCCTCTTTGGTCCACAGCTATGTGTCCACCACCATTTGATATGCATTCAGCTGCCGCTGCTCTCTCTGTTGTTGATCCTTACACAAGATATGGTTCACCTTCCACACCATCAATAGTTTCTCAAGATGAATTGTATCATCCGTGGAATGCGAAAACATTTTTAGCCGCTGCACAAGCGATACAACAGCCACAACCAGATCTAACATCTTCAAAATCACCGAATTCTACATCGCCATTAAATTCAAGTTTTAATCAAACGTTACAGTTAACCGGTTATGATATGAAAAATGGAATGAATTACAATGGACTTGCACACCGTAAGTTCTAAGATAGATCAATTTTATTTTTTTGAAGGGAAAAAGTGCTTCAAATTGTATTTGATAATGAACTTCACTTGAGTTTTTCTTCTTTTAGCTTACTGTTATTTTGATTCTGATGTTCGTGAGTGTGTTAATTGTGGTGCTGCGTCAACACCACTATGGCGAAAAGATGGTAGTGGTTTCAATCTTTGTAATGCATGCGGTATCTATAGCCGATCTCATAAAATTCGCTATAATGGCTTTATCGATCGAACAATGAGAAAAGTGGTAAATTTATCTCGGTAATACGCATTTAGATAGTTTATATGATTTGAATTTTCGTTTTTCAAGAGTGGAATGCATCGTGCTGGTAATGAATGTGCAAATTGTCACACATCCGATACTACGTTGTGGCGTCGAAATGCAAATGGTGAATCGGTGTGTAACGCATGTGGACTGTATTTTAAACTACATGGTGTAAGTATATAAAAATATACAAAGAACATAAAACGTTTATTTTTTTATTATTTTTTATTTTTGTAGGTGAATCGTCCAATGACAATGCGTAAAGAGGGTATTCAGACGAGAAAAAGAAAATCAAAGAAGGACAAATCGCCAAAAAAAGATTTTGATGATCAACCAAAAACAAGTAAGCTTAAACTTGAAGATAACTGTAACTATAATAAACCATCAAAGCGTTTTTTTTGCTTGTAATACAGTTTTCTATGACTGATTTTTAATAGAGAGTTTGTTACTATTCACGATTATCGGACACTTTCGAAGTCTGTCAATATCATTTTGTAGAAAAGGTTGAGTTCCAAAGTATTAAAATGAACAAATATATTTTCATACAGCTCTAAGGCGTCAATGCCTATAGAACAGAATCAATTTTAAATTCGTCATGTTCATTAAAAGTTATCCATTAAAAAACTATTACAGCAATAAAACGATTCGATATTTGAGGATCTTCTCTAAACGGTCAATGTTTTATCAATGTTTAGTAGATTTGAACTAACTTGGAAAACCGTTGATACAATCTTTTGAAGGTTTTTAGTTGAGATTTATATAGAACAATATATCTATTCTTCTGCGAGTTATACTATATCTGTACGTTCACTATCAGAAAAAATTAAGGTCAACATTCGAATTTATTAAAGAATACACACGCTTCTTTACTAACTTTAGCACGATATGACTTTTCGCATTGACTTTTGTGCAACTTGCTTTTGCTATAGTTTTATAAGACCGTCTAACAAATTTATAGTGTCGTGAATAGTTGTGTATGTTATGATATAAAACGTCCTGCATATGATGATGGTCTAATCTTATAGTCTTTTACTGTCCAGTTTTATTAGACTGAAAAATTATTAAAAATATATTGTCTTCTGCATCATTTATCAATCATAATGCATTCTCTAAAGAGTTTTTGTTTCACTGTTTGTTCTTCGTGAAGGTTTTGCTCTAAGAGTAACAATCGTTCTATCCTTCGCCTAGAATTTTGAGAAAAGATTTTACATGAGAATATGCACAATTATTGCTGTTAAAAAGAGAACATACACTATGCTAAGTGATTCATCAATAAGAATACAATGTGTCTATAAAATATCTACCGTTTTCTTCTATTATTTAGAACGTTTGGGCACATCAGACGATGATGATCAAAAATCGTCAGCATCACGAAATAATTCGCCGCCCACAACAAATTTATGTACAATTGATTCGGCTACAATTGCCTCGTCTCCATCATCGTCTTACTTAAGCGTTCATCCATCCTCCTATGATTTATCACCATACACCAATAGTTTCTCATCCGATAATCAATTTCATCATTCTCATCATTCAATACAACATCATCATCCCATTCATTCACTAAACTCGTATAATCAATCCTTATTATTTTCAAAACTAAAACATGAACCTGAACACCATCATCAATGGACAACATATCCAAACGGTAGCGGCCAATATGTTTAAAAACATATTATCAACATTTTATTTATTCGCTACATGTCAGATATAATATACACACATACATCTATACATCTTTTGTACAGTTGTTAAAAGCAAATTCTATTTTTTATCTGTATTGTTTGTGGCTTTTCTTGTGAATTTTTAAGAGAATAAACAATTGCACTTGCGAAAAAATATACATACAAATTCTTTACCACGTAAGGATAAAATGCGTATGAGATAATACTAATAACTTTTTACGATAGCATAATAATCTATAAGTATAATTAGAAGTATAGAATCACTAGAAAGAGTTTTTTAATGAATTATCAATTGAATTCAAATAGAAAAATGAAGATGAGATTAATTCAATTTTTTCACATTACATTCATCGGAAGTCAAGAATTTTTGTGTTACCAAACAATTTCTAAAGTCATTGATCCATATAAAATTGTACACAGAAATGAATTATATATATTCACTTGTGTTCTCATGTTGTAGTAACATGAATGTCTGCTAAAACTAGAGCCATAGTTTTATAAAACAGTCTGATACAAAATCCTGGTTCAAATACACTTTTAGTCCGGTTTTCCAGAGACAGGATCTTTGAACTTGTAAATCACACCATTAGAAAGAGCGCATACGAAAACCTATAAAAAAATAGCATTTAGAGGCTACGGGAATGCTGCAAATCTGTCATTCCATTAAATCGAGCGATTTTTTTTGCAGATAAAAACATACAACTGACATATCATTTGATGCAGTTCGATGCGCTGATTTTAAATATATTATTACTTTTAAATAAAAGTGCTTCTGGGGGTGAGAAAAACGGATTTTACCTGGAAACCCAAGGTTTTTTCGAAACCTATCAGTCCATACAGGATCATTAATGCTAATTTATGCTATTCGTACAGACGTATTGTGAGAAGATGAACCTTCTGTAAAAATGTAGAAAGAAAAATGTGTTTTTCTGAAGCTAAAGTCTCAAAAAGAAACTTACTACACTACGGAATATTTTTTAGTCATGCATTTTTTCCACAAATTCACCACTTGTTGCAAAAAAATTTGCGCCGTTAAATAGCCCATGATTCGAAGTATATGTACCACGACTTGAATCGTCAAAAAGGGCCCTTTCAGTTTTCCACCTAATGTCCACATGATTGTCTACTATGCTATAATGGATACACCCGCTTTGTTGCTTGATTTTATGATTTTCAAATTAAAGTAGTTTAAAAATCAAATCTATACTAATCAAAACGAGAGTAAGTTTTAGAATACTACTAGCATTTGCAGGATCAAATACTCATTGAAATTGAACGATTAGAGATTATTATGAATACGAAAAATATTCATCTTGCACAGATTTCATAAAAGCAGTTTATTATCTAAAAAAGAGAATAAGTTTAGTACTATCATTTCACTTAGAGATACATATCACCGACAAAAAATTAAAGTTCATTTAGAGTTAAAGCAAAGTGCTTTTTCGTATTCAGCACACTTGTTAACCTGGAAAATTTTCTATTTTTAGCGAGGGGTACCGCCAAAAAG